TTATTGTGGCACTAATCCCTTTCTAGTGCTATCCTGTATTTCTGCTCCAAGTAATTGCAAACTAGCTCTACCCCAAACATTCCAGTGATTTCCAAATAGAAGATTCAGTTTTGCTTGCCATGACCATATTATGATCACCATGGGTGATGGCCACCTTGCTTTGGGCAATCTCCAGGAATCTGGCTTCCTGATGTAAGGCATCATCTTACACAAAGCCAGAAGCCACTCTTGCATGGCAAATGAGGTGACCCAAGGTGGCATCTGCTTAACTCTTAGGAGGGGGCTGGGATGTTTTGCTTAAGCCTTCATTAAAGCGAAGGACTCCTGGGATCCAGGACTTCTCTTTAAAGAACACAGATGGGGGAGTGGGAAGCCAGACATGCCAGTGCAATGAAAGGCACAATGTTCACTCATAAGCCTTGGCCATCTCGGGCACAAAATCCCTTATTTCACCTATTTACTTACTTCTCCTTTTTAAATAAACTTCAAAGGCCAAGTCATTTTTTTTAACTGAATGAAAATTGGTGGGAAAAAATGTAGCTTAATTTTTCTGCATGGAACTACTTTCAAGGGAGATGGGTAGGAAGACTACACTTGCTTGCCCAGGCAACCTTTGGAGCTTCATGATCGGTTTTGCATTGGTGGAAATCTGCAGAAGTTCAGAAATTGCATAGCTTCTCTTCTAAAGGCTCACAATTTGGGGGGCTCTTAAAATTGTTATTTGGGATTGTTTGCTTAATTCTAGGTGACCGATGACTTGAACAAAAAGTACATTTAAGAGTTTAAAGTACTTGATGCAGAACACAGAAATAATCTTTAATATGTAATCAATGTACTGAGAGAAGATATATGAAGATTCATGTAGATCCAAATGGTTTTACCACATGCTCTGCCAGTGTTATGCCTGGATATTTAATCAAATATTCAGTCAAAAAAATTCTGGTTTCAGTAGAGAATATCTGTAGCTCAGGGTTGAAGTGTGGAGTTCTTGGTGCTCTCTGAGCTTGGTTGTTTGCAGACATTTCATTACTCAACTAGGTAATATCAGTGCACATCAGAGACCACCAAGAGCTCCACAAAATTTTGGTTTGTTGAGAAGAGGGAATGGTACATCTGAAAATGTATGGGGTAGGCTCTCAGCTTTTTTCTTTTTAAGGAGTAAAAATATTCTGAACACTCCCAACCTTCCTAGAATGACAAGAGGCTGCCTTGCCAAATCATTGTTTCAAGAAAGACTACAAAGGAACAGTAGTGTCTGTGAAGATTCCTACACCCTTGTGCGTGTACAAGGCTTTTTCCATGGAGTGTGCGGTGGGGCGAAGAAGCCAAGAATCACCAATTGCTTGGTATACTTCAAAATATTTTTTTCTTGGGAAAGATGGACCACTGGACCTGTTGATTCTCATGGCTTTTATCTCACTATTGGTCCATAGGAGCAAAAATCCAGTCATAAAATTCTTTACCATTTCTGAGAATCGGGCAAACTTAATCCAAATCAGCTAAGTAGAAACAATGGCAGGATGAGTTCTTTGGTATTTGAAATTTCTTTAGACTACTGAAAACTTCCATCCGTGCTGACACAGCAAGGATTCTTTATAAATTGCAGTGACACAGATCGGTGAATTAAGCATCTGTGCAAAATTGGCGGCAGGGTAAAAAAGCCAGGACATTCAAACTTCTCTCCCCCAGTTAATTTACAAAACTCCAATCATTTAAATAAAAACCAGTAACTAGTGATAGTTTTGGAGGTTATTCAGTCTATCGCACCAAATATTCTATGTATAATTATCTCCCTGCAAGATAGAAGTCATGGATCTATGATTGGTTCAATGAACTCATGATTTTCAAGGAGCAAGTTCATTTCCTTAAGGCCAAGGTAACTGAACCGGAGGAACAGGTTAGAAAAGAGGCCCCCAAGGATGAAACAATGCCATCTACTCCAACAGTGATACCTTTGCAGTCAGAGAGGATTAAACCCTCAGGAGGAGGATGTCACTCCAGGTAGCTTTCTCCTGGAAATGCCAGTAGCATGCCAATTAGATAGAACCCAGTATTCTCCATATGTGGATTGAGACAATGGTGCTGGAAGGAGAGGGTTTGGATTTATTAGGTATGAGATTATGTTTTGAACCAGCCAGGTTGGTCTGAGGAAGAACAGGTTCTACTTGAATCAAAATCTGGCAAATGATTGAGTCAAGAAAAAAAGCTCCCAAGGGTAAAGAGATAGGACTCAGAAAATCCACAGAAGAAAGTGTGTACCAGGGCTTCTATGGGAATGCCACGTGCTTTTGAAACAATGACTAAATTGGAATGCTTGATAGATTTGCCCCGTATAGTTTCATAAATGGAGCAGACTATATTAATTCATATATTAATATATGTCCATATTAATTTTCCCAAACAAGCTACTACTATAGTCACAGTGTGCCCTCCCAACCCCAACCAAGAAATGAAAGCTGATTTACAAATGGAGAGTTAAATTAGAGAAGCACATGGAAAAAAAATATTCCAATAGGTATGGGCAATTTCAGTCAGCCTCATGGAGAAAATACAGAGTTTAGTTATGGCAACAAGACCAACATTTCTAAATACTCTAAATGATTATACTCCTGGAACAGCTAATCAGAGAGCATTGATTTTGAACTTAATCCTAAATAGTGCCCAGAATCCAATTCAAGATTAAACTGACTGGGAATAATCACAATGCTGCATTTTTCAGCAGAAAACTACCTCCTGCTTTAACTGCTTTCCAGAAGCAGCTGAAAACACAGCTCTTCCAGAAGGTGTTTGGAGCCTGATGCCCTAATTTTGATTTATTTTATGTTTCTAGGTAGATTTAATGGCGGTTGTATTCCTGTAAACTGGTGAGAGTCCAGCAGGACTGTGGTGGGCTATGTCCTCACACATGCATCTAACTGGATACTTCCCCTTTGAAAGTCCAATTTGACTTTTAAAAGAACAAATTTCCAGACAATGAAAAGCTTGATGAAAATACCTTGCCTCTTTAACTTTCTAGATTTTTTTTTTAAGAGTAGCCAAGGGTAACCCAACAGGGATTTTATGCTTAGACTTTTTAAAAGTCCTTTGACAGAGCCCTGAGCAAACATAGGAATAAATAGGTCAGTGTTTCTCAACCTCAGCAACTTTAAGATGTGTGGACTTCAACTCCTAGATTTCCCCAGCACTCAAAATTCCCTGACCCAACTGGCTGAAGAATTCTGGGAGTTGAAGTCCACACATCTTAAAGCTGCTGAGGTTGAGAAACCCTGAAATAGGTGAGGCACATACTGGTAAACCATGCAAAGTTGTGGCCGCCTAGAGATCAGTGCCAGCACAGACGCATTTTAAGTTTTATATAAATGATCTGGAATTAGGACTGAACAGTGAAACACCCATATTTGCTGGTGACACCAAACTCTTCAGAGTGGTAAAAAAGCAAAAAGGGGTGTGTGGAAGACTCCAAAACCATCTCTCCAAACTAGGCGAATGCTCTTCTATGTAAAGCAGCAAAACTGCAGTGATGCATGTTTGCAGTGTGCACACACGCACACAATTCCAGAATTCACTTATAGTAATGGTATGTGGGAATGACCTTGGGAGACGGGGAAGAGCCCCAGCCAGGGGAATGATTGGATAAGAGGCAGCTGAGCCCTCAGGAAGAATGGAAGTGAAACAAACATTTCAGAAGCGATCCTCCCTGGTTTCTTGGACTGTAAAGATGAGAGGGGTTATGCACTTTCAGCCTTGTAAGATTCTGTTAATGTAACCTTACAATAGAGTAGGGCTAGTACTTATAGATGTGCTTCTTGTCTAGACCACCTTGCAAGGCTGACACCTATACATTAATGGGATCTGAGCTGGCAGTAATTTTAAATCTTCTGTATACTATAGACAACCAGATGAAAATGTCAGAATGCAGCTGCTGTAAAGGACAACAAATTCCATGTTTGCAATTGGAAGGAAACTGAAAATAGAATGGGAAAATGATAATACACTTCTACAAATCCATGCTAAGACCATGCTATTGTGTACAGCTCTGGTTGCACCATCTTAAAAAGGACATCATAAAGCTAGAAAATATGCCAAAAAAGGGGAGGAACCAAAATGATTAGGGGAGGGCTGCAGCAGCATCCCATGCAGAAGGTCCAAGTAAGTGGGGCTCTTTAATTGGAAATGAGAAAGGAAAATGTCTTAGAAGTATGTAAAATCATGTGTGGTATAATGTGCAAGGCAATTCTGCCCCCTCCTCCAACACCTACAGAGCGGTTAGAACAAGGTCATCCATGGCAAGTAAAGTGCAGGGAGATTCAGGAGGACCAGCAGTGTGGAATACTTTCACAACACACGTGGTTAAACTCTGGAATTCACTATCAGAACCTTGGTTGTGGCAGCCAACCTAGATGGTTTGAAAAGGAAACTGGACAGGTTCCTAGATGATCAGGCAATCAATGGCTACTAATATTGATGGCTGTTTACTCTCTTGAATTATGCCTGAAATATTGCTGAGAAGAGACAGGATACAGGGGTCTTCTTGTGAGCTTCCCAAATACATCCCATTGACCAATGTGGGAGAAGAAATGGTAGAGCACTTGGCCCTGCAGCTGATCCAGCAGATTTTTTCTGATGTTCTTAAGCTTACAAAGAAAGTGGAGGTAACATCAACAAGTCATAGCAGAACACAGTTTAACATATTTTCAGTACTTTCAAGCCAAGAAAACATCATTAAATGTACATTTCCAGCTCTTTATGTATACCCTAAAATCCTCAAAATAAATTGTAAGACGAGTTACATTTCACACTTTTTCTGAAATTACAGAAAATACAAAGTATCTTTGCTCCCCCACTGTTAACATC